CTTCCGAATACTCCATGGGACCTACGTCAGACCGCTCCTGGATTACGCCAACCAAGTTGTTTACTCAGGACGCACGAAAGACGTCATCCTCATTGAGCGTGTCCAGCGGGCCGCTACGAGAATGGTTGCCGGCCTCAAATTCGTGGACTACGAAATGCGTCTCGCGATGCTTGATCTCTTTCCCCTGGAGTACCGTCGCCGCCGAGGGGACCTAATTCTTACTTATGCCCCGTTTGAACAAAGCTTGGCAAACAGGTGTTTTACCGTTGACCCAGCAAACTCCCGGCGGGAACATAGTAAGAAAATTTTCAAGCTCAGAGCACATACATTCATTAGACAAAATGTTTTCTCATTCCGGGTGGTAGCTATGTGGAATGGCCCTCCTCCGACAGTTTCCACGCTTCTTCTAGAACACAGTTTAAAGCACCATTAGGCATTTATTTATGCGAATCCTCGCGCCGGGAAGCATACTGCCCCGCGCTGAGAACATAAAGAGCAGTGCTACACCCTTTATTCCACTTGTGCGATTCAGGTGAACGACAGCCACTGACCGACAAGAACAAAACCGACCCGGAAACTTGGGCAGAAGCCTCGATCCTGTGTATCAATCCGTGAATCCGAGAATCCGTGAGCTGAGGCGCGAAAAGGCACTCAGCTCCCTCAATAGAAAGATGAGAATCAATGGCCTTTCGAAAGCCAACGTGAGATTATATAGTATGGATATGGGAGTGGAGCTTGTTCCACGGTTTAGAATAAAGGCGAAGAAAAAAGATTTGTCTAAAGGCAGTTCGACATGACGGCAGTGAGTTTAAACATCCAGAGTTACGTATATTATAGGAAGTACGGGAAGAAAATTCAGGGCAGCTGTCAGCTATGTAAGCCCGCCGGTAGATTAAGCGATGCAGAGGGCCTAGACCCAACCTGATACGCCTTAGACCTAATGGATCCAGCCCAAGTGATAAGCAGCGAAGACGACACGGTAATGTGGGTGACACCGGAAACAGGGACACAGCAAACGAGCGCTGCATATTCTCCACAGCAGTCCGGCATTTCTGTGGATACTGTGAAGCGAATTCGGGCTGGATTCAAGAATAGGTCTTACAAATGTTTTATAATGGCAATTAGACACGGTTTATTATGGAAGGATCGGCGAATGTAAGTGCAGAGCTTGCGAGCTTTAGCCACTCTGCAGTTTGCATGCTGGTTGAAACT